TAAATTGATTGATTTAAAAACATGTTTCAAAAATTTTTTGAAACATGTTTAACTGCGGAAAAAACATATTTTATATTTTTAATTTATCAATATATATATATATATATATATATATATATATATATATATATATATATCTGAACCAATTTCTGGAGTTATCACCAACCTGTCTACGTACGAGCTTACTGAGCTAGAATCTAGTATACTTTCGCATGGCTTAGATCATTGTATACCATTTAAGATTCCTGATAAGGAAAAAATTTTTTCCGAATTTGAAGTGCTATCTGCGCAGTTGTGTAGACTGGTGCCTCGTTCTGCTGACTTGCTTTCTAATTTGAAGGCTACTCTCAACAGCTCTGCGCATACTTATGCGCTAACTCCGGTAGCCCTTTCTGAGTCTAAGTGGAGTCAGCAGCATCGTTCTGTAGTCAGGAATTTACAGGCAAATAACAACTTGGTAATTACTCGTCCTGATAAGGGGGATGGTATTGTTCTATTGGATCACTCTGAGTATGTCTCTAAAATGCAATGCATTATTAGTGACACTACTAAATTTCTTCCTCTTGGTCCAGTAGAGACACATGATCGTACTGTTCCTTTAGAAATCAAGTTTCAAAAGAAACTTTTATCTTGGGCCAAACGTGGGTTAATACCTCGTGAAATCATGGATGATATTAGACCTGTTGGATCTATTCGTCCTCGTCTATATGGCCTTCCTAAAATATATATATATATACGTGTGTGTGTGTGTATGTGTATATATATATATGCATGTATCTGTGTATAATAGTAGACCAATATATCCATATAATAGGTGAAATTTATGTTGAAATACATCTCTGTAAATCCATGCATTTAATGAAGAACTTAACGAAAAGGAAGATAAGATTCTCAATGAACTATTTTGTGTCAAATAAAATACTTATTGGTCATTGATACGGCTTTATAGATGTTACTATATATCTGTCTGTGTCTATTCGTATCTATCTATCTATCTATCTATCTATCTATCTATCTATCTGTGGAGAATGTACGGAAAAATCATTGGTCTTTTAAGGAAGGTATTCGAATTAAAAATTAAAATTGCTGTATCCGCACACACACATATACAGATATGTGTGCGTATGTGTATTTGCGCGTGTGTATTTTACCTCTCTGCTAGTCGTTAAGAGTATTTGCGTGCATATATATGTATATGAAACTATATATTTATGCATACTCTATATATATATATATATATATATATATATATATATATATATATATATATATATATGGGTAAATTGTCGCCATTTTGCGATGGGTAAATTGTCTCCATTTTATATTTTTATTTCCCACATGCGCGTTGTTTGTTTTATATTTTGTCGACTGCACTGTATAGTAGGGTCAGTTGGGCACCGTCTATATGAAAAAGTACCATGATACAATTCAATCCGCCAGAAATTTGGGAACGGCATGCTGTACTGCTTGGCGTTCGCACCGGAAGCTCCAATACGAACATTTAAGAGTATTTGGCTGTCAATCTGAAGACACTGCACAATATTTGGAAAGAGTTGGTGACTGGATAAGTCAACATCATGGTGTTTGTAGTGATCACTAGTGATGGCGATGTTATGCCTCCATACATCTGCCTACAGGGCCTCAGATTCTACACGGGTGCCTACATCAAGTGCCTTGATGAGCTAATTATACCCTGGGTCAAGAAGGTGGCAGCTGGTAGATCCTATGTCTGGCAGTAGGGTTCAGAACCCTGACATACAAGTAAGAGAACCCAGCTATGATTGTCAGACAATTTCTGCGACCACATCTGCAAGCCCCTTTGAGAACACCAAAAATACCTGCTGACAAGGATAATGGCAGCATTCACCAACTTAAACAAGGAGACCGTCCAGAAGAGTTGCAGGAGATTCCAAAGTCGTTTGGAGGCAGTGGTTGAAACTGTTGCTCATCATGACGGCCGTCTTCGAGTATAGAATCCAGAGGTTATACGTGAATATTTCGAAGACAGTAGGAAAGCGTTGTTCAGGTTAGCCGTGGATATTTTGGTAAAAGTAGCAGAGCGTAGTTCGTCCTTCTGGTTCTCTTCGCCTGACAAGCTGGACTGGACATTCGTGGAGAATGAACAAAAATGGCCGCCTTTATACTCGACGGATTGAATGTTCTACGTCTTCTGATTGGTCAACCTTCTATTGGTGGACTATAACGTGAGTTTAGTCATTTTGACTGGTTCACTAGTTACATACATATACACAAAAAACTGTAACAGAAGCCAATGGCGATTTTATTGAATAAATATTCTCTTTTAATATTTCAGTATATTTTTTGCGTAATTTTTGTAAACACGCCTGTTATTTTCATTTGTGTGCAATTTAGACAACAATTTATCTATCGCACCTTATGTTTGTGTGTGTAAGAAATGAAAGACGAAAGCAAAACTTTTCTTTACCAACGCGTTTCGTATCCTGAAGAACTTTATCAAATTAAATGTGAAAATGTTCGTTTTGTCACTTTTATTTATACACAGAAATAAATTGAAGGAAAACTGGTGTTAAGTTTTTTTTTTAAATTTAAGATCGCTTTAAAATATTCTTAAAGTTAGCAGTATAAGGAAAACTAAACAAGGAAAGTTGAATATTTTAAAGCGTTCTCAAATTTAACTTTAGAAAACCTAACGATATTTTTCTTTCACTTTACCTCTGTGTTTAGATACCAGTTATGAAATAAAAATGTCCACATTTACCTTTATCGAGTTCCGCGGGGGACGAAATGTGTTGATAAAGAAACGTTTTCTTTTCGTTTTGTATTTATGTTGTCTTTAAAGATATATCTTATTTATATCTGAATTTTTTACATATACTTGCATAAAACACGAATCTAGAAAAGGGAAAAAATTTTTGACATTGTTATTGTTAACTCATTTTTATGAGGGTAATTAAATGCTACAATTGAAATACTTTTCTGCCAACTCATATTTAAAAGTTCTTTGCTCAAACCTTAAAAAGTAAATGTTCTGGATAAGCTTTCTAAACATATCCGGGATATTATAAACAAAACACAAAAACAAAAATCACACCAAAAATATGGAAAATAAGAAAAAGAACATCGGCCTACTACATTCAATCCAAAAACTGTAAACTCTGCCTTGAAGAAAAAAAAAGCTATATTTACCTTCCCAGACCCCAAAATCTACTAAATAAACGATCTGACCTCATCCCAAAAACAAACGCGAAAAAATATTTACTACGTTACTTAAAAATCGAAAACTTAAAACGAATAAAAATAAATGAAAATAAAAATTTATGAAAATAAATAAATAAAGCATTATAAATAAACAAAAAAACAAGTCAAATAAATTAATCCACGCAAACAAATAAGTAAATAAACTAATAATAAATAAATTAACAAAGACGCTCACCAAAATAACCATTAGAATGACAATAGACTCCCCATGATGCAACAGAATACCCATAATTCATCACTGACCTATATTTATTAGAAGCCACACATAAACGCAACGTACATGCTATGAAAATTGCGTTTAGTATGAAACAGACTGTCGCCTCTAGGTATTAAGTTTAATGTTCACTTTTATATATATATATATATATATATATATATATATATATATATATTTATTTGGTTCAACCGAATATGTTAGCTCTATCTCTGATATTGAGCGCGCATATAATATATAAATAATTATACATATATATATGTATTTTTATTTATATTTATATACACACACTTTTCACACAAACACACACACACACACACACACATATATATATACATTAGTGCACATATACAAGTATTTATTGATTTTTTAATTTATTTTATTTTTCATATATAATGTTTTATATAATTTCGCCTATATTGCATATTTTTAAAATTCGCAATATTCTAATTTATTGGTTGTTTGTTTATTTTTTAATTAATTGTAGGTTCAATTTATTTTTAAATTTTCTATCTATCTATCTATCTATCTATCTATCTATCTATCTATCTATCTTTTCATAATTTCACCCCAAGCATGGTGTTAATGGACGCAAGGGGTTACTGAGAGTTGAGACCTAATTGCCAATCTTGTAGTGCGCTTATACTGATCAGGCTAAGATATCAAGGAGTAGAGCTGATTAGAACAATTGCATTGAACAGAGGGAAGTCACGTCACGATGGTGGGTAGGCGAGATACGTCGTCAGGACCGATAACATTTCAAAACTTTGTAGGGGATAACGTGTGTGAAAAGCGAAGAAATAAACTTCAACAAATTTAAATAATTTTATTATTGAGTATAAAAATAATCTTCAAGTAGAAAGAAGCAACTTACAAAGTTTCTCTTTAAAAAGTGCAACGAAAAATGTTTTTTTCCTTTTTACAACACAAAGAAATGAACTGCGTTAATATAAAATAAATAGATATATTGCGAAAATTCACGTATTAAGTTATTTTATGTATGTGTGTAATTTCAGCAGTCGACCGAATAAATGCTGTATCATTATAAATGCTACAATTCGCTTTGTTTATAAATCTCGCTCGAATAATTTTCATATTGCATGAAATACTTTAAAAGCGAGAATTAATTTGCAAAAGGGACTTAGAAATCAAATAAGTTAGTTCGAATATGGGAAAATTAATTTGAAAATCCATTATCATTCACAATTCCCGATCGATTTATACTAAAGATTAAATTATATTAATTTGCGTTACGCTATTAATGTAAATTACAAATATTTTTAGGGAGGAAATGATCATTAATCGTGATCTTTCAAATATGTTGCATATTACACAGAAATGCTCGTCTTCTTTTTGAAAGCTTCAATGGTGATTACTTAATAAATACTAATGCGGAAATTTTAATCTTGAGCTCGTGTGAGCCTAATTTAGCACAAAATTGAAAAATTTAGTGATACTACTTTCTTCAAGTTTTGCTAGGGTTCCACACCCTAGTTTCGATTTTGATGAGAATCTCGAGATATATAGCTGGGGCCTCGTACCAGATATGGTAGCAGTATTCAATGCACGGATGAAAGGTAGATCTATCTATCTATCTATCTATCTATCTATCTGTCACTTAGTCTCATAGTACATTTATCGGAATTTATACAAGTTATAGACCTAAAAGAAAAGAGAGACGAATAAACAACGAACTCTTTTTCAGTTGTTATGGGATCGTATCCATAATAATAACAATGGACTATTCCATACTTAATAAATACTGTGCCTCAGGAGTAGGAAACGAGTCCGTCACTCAAGTCTTGAACGACAGATCGGTTGAACTATCGGCATTCGGGCGGGGAGGAAACCGAAAGAGTCTACGCCGAAGGGCGGATTCTCTTTCGGGGAGGTAAACCGACCCGGAACCCGTTTATACGGGTTCAATGGGCATATTTTTGGCCGAGCCCACGGGCCCAGAGATCCCACGTTAAAAATGCCTTGTGCCACATGACGCCCTCGTGGTGGGGGTGACTGAATATCATCAGTAGTTCAAGTCGAGTCAGTAGTTCAAGTCGAGTCAGTAGTTCAAGTCGAGTGAAGAGCCGAATCAGAGGCAGTCCGAAACGGAGTCGCGTTCAGACAATTACTGCAAGACATTGGAATAGTGATACTGGTCGAGACTACATTGTTCTCTCTACTAAATCTGATTGTTCATATTAACACTTCTACTTCTCTGTATATATTCCTGTTTGTAATATATCTGTGTTATTCCATATCCGTATTCGAGTTCTTCTTTATTGGTTCTACCTTGGACTATCACCGTGGTACAAGGAACTGGACCATAACATCAGTAATTGCAATGAATGTGACAGGATGTCTACTTAATGATTAATACTTCTTAAATTTTAACTATTTATACATAGACTGCTTGCATGCAATTTGTACCGAAGAAAAAATATTACGTCCGACTGCATAAAGTGGCTATAATCCTGTCTGTAATGATTTTTCTTTTTCTTAATGGCTCTCCACAACTTCCTTCTCCTTGTAGATTTTAGTAAGGCATGTCTTTTTACTATCTCTCCTAATCTCTGTTCTGCAAATATCGTTAAGTGGGTTATTCGCTGCTTTACCCTGACCCTTTTGTCTTCAATATGTCTCGTGAGTGTTAAATTCTCCAAGCTCTCTTTTCTCATCATATGGCCTAGAAATTTTAATTGTCTCTTTTTGTTTCCATGTTGCATAAAACTTCCCCCTTAGTCACATCCTGCATCCGAGGCATTCACAGCATTCTTCTGTATAAGAAGGTTTCTATTGCGTCACTCATTCGATCTCTCAAAATGCATTATTCTTACATAATCTGCTTGCGTCATCATGACTTCTAATAATAACCTTCTCTGTATTTAGTTAATCACATATAAGCTGTCATTCTGTAATAGAACGTTAATCATTGTTCAGTAATTTAGCAAGATTTTGCGATACTTCGAGATATTAAAAAGAAACGAAGAATATTTGACCTACTTGTAGTAAATCTCCGAGCTTTTTGATGGAAGAAAACGCAGAGAACGTTTGATAATATATATACCGAAAAAAATTATAAGATCACATGAGAAATTGTATAAGAACAATAATCAAAGCGTCTTGTCTGTAATATTCAATGAAACGTGCATGAAAGAAGGATTACTGCCTAAATACACAATATATATATATATATATATATATATATATATATATATATATATATATATATATATATATATATATATATATGTGTGTGTGTATTCAAAGAATAGAAGCAAAGAAAATAGAAACTCATCGTTAGTAAATTCAATAAAATAGACAGGTTGTTCAGAATATTTTAAATATTATAAAGTCTATCAAATTAAATTTCTTATTTCTGTTGTTCATTATCGCAGGATGTCATTTGATGATCGTTAATAAACATCGCGTATCAGAAACAAAGAATAAAAATGGCCACTTACACTAACGTGCCAAAAGTTCACGACGCGTAGGACATTAATGTTACGGTGGGTAGCACCACCATACCGTGTTATGAAAATACCTAACCCAATATCATTTGTTCTCTGACATAGCTTTGTTTTTAATCAATTCACCGTAAGCAAGGCGATAATGCCACTATGACGGAAGAGGATACTGGGAGTGAAAGAGAATAAAAAGACTTTAGATGGAACCGGAAGACCAATCTTTAACAGGAAAGAAGGGATGGACAGCTACTCTTGTTCAAAAGATCGGGAAGGTGTGTGAACCGGACGATAGGCGAAACTATCTGCTCCTATTAAGCCTGTTGTCACTTTCAAAATCACTTAAGTTGCTCATGGAAAGGCAATGGGAATTTTCAGAATTCGAACGGTGATTATAATGAATTGATTTATTTATTTTTTTATTTGAGGATTATGAACCTTTTGCTGGTTATTTAAAGCCAGAAAATATTTTTAGATTGCAAGATATACTATTTTTTAGATCATGCTTTCCCTCCCGAGGCCATCAGTACAGGGAGTTTTTTTTTTATGTCTGAAGGATACAGCCGTCAATATGTCTTGGGAGTCACACCAATCACAAGTACTTGGGAATACTGTTGTAGAACGTCTGAACGGACAGAGTTACTTTGTTAGTTCCCTGTTTACCCACGCACTAATAACAATTATTAATCAAAAGCAATTGTAATAATGATAATAATAATGTAAAAATTCAAAAAGAGTATATTGATTGATTTTTTACGGTATATCAACCTTTTGCATGTTAGTTGAAACTAGAAAATGTTTTTAGATTGTAAATCTTTTCGGAGATAATAATGTTACAAGTTCTACTAATTAATCCATAGCTGGAGGGAGAAGACGTGTATTCATACCTTTCCCAAAGGTATTTGCGCGTAAGTAAGCAGGAATTTGGTGGTTTGGTTTGGTTTGGTCTGGTTTGCTATATCGTATATCAACCTCACTGTCGACAAGATTTTTATTGCTGGTTATATATTTTTCAAAAAAATGTATTGTCACTAATAATGTTTTCCAGAAATATATAGCTGGCATTAAAATCTATTTTACCCGTTCATAATGTTGACCGCAGTTTGGAGGTAGACTATTTACTCATAGCTGAGACTTTAACAGGTGCTATCGCCTCGTGTCAGGGTGGACCCGGTGACACCAGCAATTAAGATGTCGTTCTCAAAACTTCCTGATCAGAGGCCTTGCTGCCGGATGTAGTTTATCGTCATACCCAGGAGGCAGGGATTTAGAACTCGGCTCTCTGATTAACAATTCCGAGCCATTATCCATTTCAACAACCACACATCCAAGCTTACAGCGCCTGGTATTCCCAAGTGGTCACCCTTCTAAGTACTGACTAGACTTGACGTTACTTAACTTCGGTGATCGTACAATAACCGATGTTTCAATATAATGCAGTCGCAAGCTGCTTACGATGAAATCATTCCGGAAACACTTTCCGGTTCGATCACCAAATTTAAGTAATGTCGAACCCGGTCAGTACATGGATGGGGAACCGCCTAGGAAGACCGGGTAAAGTATGCAACTTCCTACAATCCGAAATATACTTCAGCTTTAGAAAGGGTTGATAAGACGATAAAAACAAAAGCAAATCAATCAGTTAACAATGAGGTACATGTAATGTTACTGGAATGGAAGATATTACCGCCTAATGTGGACAGCGCAGTGAATGGCAGTTGCACCAGGATAAAATAGACTATATGAAAGGTAATAGGGTTACCTATTACCTTTCATATATCCTCTCATAAACTCCACTTCTTACCTGCGATTCTTACGCTCACGCAACAACCTCTACCTGGAGTGTCTCATTGGCCTTGTATTAGATAAACTATTAATTAAAAAAATAATAAAATTGATATAGTATAAAAAGAAATTTATTGTACCTAGGGAACGATTGTTTTTGTGAATATGTTTTATTGATAAGTATAGACATTTTATGTCTATTATGATTGAGTATCTTTTTCTGATAAATTACAAACGACAATGCCCTGCGAAATGAAAAAAAAAAACAAACTGTGAAGCAACCAAAAATCATAGCGTTTTCAGATGCCTTCCGATGCGCATATGATATGAAGTATTTCTGCGTCATGTGACCCTGATTATTTTTAATAAGCTTTTCAATCTGGTTATCATCAACGACTGCAGGGATGCCGGGACGTTCTTTGACTTTCAGATCAAAATTTCCACTTTTGAACATCGGTAACCACTTGCAAAGAGTATCTTTTGATATAGTAAAGCCTCCATAAACAGCGCATATTTTTTGGTGTTTGTACAGATATTTTTTCCCTTTCCGGAAATTAACAATAAGCTTCAGATAACAAGAATGCATCTCGTTGTCTTCCATTTGCACTTGTTAAGTACAAATCGTTTAAATTTCAGCATCCACGCCCGAAACGTGCCAAAAGACGCATTAAAATGTCACCTTTCGGATTATCTATAGGTAAGATAGGTTTTAGCCACTTGTAAAATGAAATCACGGGTTCAAATGTCATCTATCGATAAAACGCTACTAAACTTTGTTCCAATTCAATATTTCTTATCGGGTGTGTAGAAAACGTAAATAATGAGAAGTAGGAGAATCGGAAGAGGAGGAGGAGAATGAGGAGGAGGAGGAGAGGGTGTAGTAGATAAACGGAAATTGAAGAAAGAATGCAATTCATATAATGAATAATGAGGAATGACTGTAAACATAAGAATATATTGACGAAGAAGATATCGAGATTATGATACGAAAGGAGCTGGAAGAAATTGAAGGGGAGAAATGACAAAAGGCGGACAGAAGACAAAGAAACGAAAGAAAAAAAAGAGAAAGCACATTATATCAATATTGTTGATTAATTCATAGTACTAGCCCATGGGGGATAATATCTAACAGAAAATTCAGAAAAGAAAATATTTTAATCTTAAGGGAAGTTCTATAATCTTAAACATTTGCATGCAAACTATCGTTTCTCTGTGTTTAGACCTGGATCAGTTGTTCGTTGTCTTTGGCACAGACAAAAGCATAAATGAAGATTCCATCACAAAACCAGCATCTCCCACTGACTAAATTTCTTCGTTAACGCCTAACACATTGGAGAAGCCAGTAAATACAATCGCCGATCAGCCTTCGACTTTGAAACATAAAATAGTTCAATCCCAGGAGGCACCCATTCCTTGACGGAGAGCTGCGTCTGATACATCCCCAAAAGATGACAGCCTCGTAATGTTGGTCGAATGTACATCCGGTACTTCCCCTTGTTAGACATTTTCATGACGGTCGTCTTCGAGTATAGAATCCAGAGGTTGGCAGTGAATATTTCGGAGACAGTGGATATCGCAGCAAAGTAGCAGAGCGTAGATCTTCCGTCTGTCATGTTCGCCGGACAAGTTGCCTCTGGTCCTTCCGGGTAGGAAGACAAAGATGGCCGCCTTTATACACGACGGATCCAGTGTTCTGCGGCTTCTGATTGGTTAATCTTCTATTGGTAGACTATAAAGGGAATTAAGTCACTTTGACTCGCTCACTATTTACATATAATATACACGAAAACCCGTAACACCCCTTTCAACCCGACCTTGTGCCCTATTCTTTTCAAGATAAATCCCATCACATCCAGCCCTTTTTAATCGGTATCTCTAGCGTTTTGTGTTTGGGGCATGATACGGCTAAAATGAAATGTATCAAGTTTCGAGAATATCGTCTCATCAATAATATCTTGAGATCAGAAGTATCACGCTCTTATTTTTGCATCCCGCCAAAGAAAAACACACACATACACATTATATCACATCCACCCCTGTGGAAGGATAAATAAATGCTTCACTTTTCATCTTTTTGTCTAAGGTAATTCGTGTTTCGTCATAATGCTTGGCACAAACTGAATGAAGCCTATTCTCTGGAGATCTTACTCATGGTTCTAAATTTTACTTCAACTCCTAACGTCTCCGTCTAAACTCAGAAATCTTTATTATTATTGGATTTCTGGTTCATTCTAAAATATATTCCTTCTCTTTCGATTCCATTAAGGGGCTAATGGTGTTATCATCTTGCTTGAATTTCGACTCGGTTTGAGGAATTGGAAAATCGAGGTCGAATTCCAGTCGAGTTCGTTACATTCCCTTACGTGCAAATACACATGGGAAAGGTATAACTCCATCTCTTTTGTCTCAGCTGTGCATAAGTAGCAGGACATACTAGGTCATATTGCCTTGAGTGGCAACCACTCTAGGAGAAAGTTAACTCTGAATTCTAAACCTGAGTGGACGAGTGGTCGGCGAGTAAACCGGCTCCTACACCGGACACTGATTTGGTGAGGATGGTGGGTGCAACCCCAACACTACGAAAAACAAGAGCAGTTGAAGGACGGATGAATTTCACAGAATGAACGGAGATCCACCCCAACTATGGGTTAAATAGTCTCACAACCCACAATTAGACAAGCGTGATGAATACAACTACACCCCTTAAAACATGGTCAATCAGAGAAGGGTTCTTCCAACAGGTGTGATTATAGCTGGGATTTGGATTTAGACTTTGTGGAACAAACTCCCGTGTGGTTGCTTCCCGAAAAAAGTTAATCATTAAAGTAAATGGTTAGTTGTTATCTTTACTCCTTATTTTCAAGATCTTACCAACTTCTCTTCCATTCATATCAAACATATAATTTAGCATTATCATTTTGGTGATTGTAAACTTATGACTTGAGTATCTCTCGAACATTTGCATTGAGTGAAGTTTAGTATTAACAAATAACTCGAGGGAGATGGACTGAAACCTTTTCGAAGCTTACTAGCCTTGAATGAATAAATCAGTCACCGTTAGAATTTGAACTCATCGCGCTGATCCCATTTTCTGCGCCAATCATCGTTACGTCACTCCAGGTCCGAATTTAGACCGTGTCTATACAAAAAAAGTTATATTTTAGATCATGCTTTTCCGTACGATATTGTGCAATTTTCTGCTTACTACATGTCTATGTTCAATTGTAAAATTGAGAAAAACTTGAAAAAACTAGAGAAAATTAAGCAAAACTAAATAACCAATATCAAAACTCTATATGTATATAAAAAAAGACGCATCAGAATCTAAATGTGACCCCTTCGTGAGGACCCATCGAATGTAAAACCCCATTCTAACTTCAGGGGACCAAATACTCTAAATTGTTTCAAATTAGTTCAAAGGACCCCCAATAAGTAAGAAAATAAACAAATCTGCTCTTGTCCTTATATTTTTATTTTTTATAGGTTTATCTGGGACCCAAGTCGAGAGGGCCTTTGAGTACCCTCTAATTTTGGGTCTCCTGACTTTCAGCCAATACTAACTCATATGTAAGCCCAGCTCTACGCTACTTGCATATCTAACTCAGTATGTACATGACTAATTTGGTGGTCGGGTGTTGTTTTATTTGAATTCGAACCCTTGCCCTCGGGTGGAAAATACGTGACAAGTTTCAGACCTTAGAAAGTACTTTAGTTCCTCTTATCATATCATTAAGAAAATAAGACCTGAATACAATGTAGAAGAATTGCTATGTTCAGACTGGGGCTCGAACTAACTACCCTATTTAAATAGGCACTATCATTCAACCAGTAAGCCATCTCTCAGGACCGGACGCGGACAAGAGTAATTGAGGCGAATGCAGTGAAATTCGACGAAGTAATGAAAAATAAAGAACGATAAGGAATGTCAGAAGACAGAAAAATGATAGAATAATAATTCACGTAGATCTGTCATGCGAAATCGAGATTTATGGCCCTATTGCCCGTTTCAGGTTTTGTCCCTAGCTCGTCTAAATTGATAATGAATGTGAATAATTTGACCGAATTGTGAACAGCATCTTTGTCTTTTGAAAGGAAAAAAAAAAGATTTTTTTTTTTGTTGTTTTCGATTTAAGTTTATTAGACTAACATTTTTGCTGTCTTTAGAAAGTGTCCCAACAGAAGATGTAATGTCCGACACTGGGATGAACAAAGACACATTCGAAACGCTAAGGAAAGTATTAAGAGACAGGAAGATATAGTTGTAAAAAAAGAAATGGGTATTGAACTGTTAGGCGATAGCCGTCCTCTTGAATGTCAGCGAATACTGGACAATCTCCTCAAAGATGAAGAAGGAACTCGAAGCAACAGAAAAGTGGTTCTACAGAAGGATGCTGAGGACACCATGGAGTAAACCTGTGAGCAACGATGAGCTTTTGGAGAGAATGCAAACAAAAAGGAAACTTATATTTAACACCAGCTCTGAAATTGGTGGGACGCATAATGACGAAGGAGGGTTTTGAAAATCTGATACTCACAAGGCGGAGAGAGTGAAAGAGCGGAAGGGGAAAGCCACTCGTAACATACTTGATGGGCTTGAACAAATGGAAAAGCAGAACAGGATTTGGGAGAAATAACAAAAAGACAA